ATGTTTTCTTAGTAGTTGAAAGAAAAACCACAAGTGGTGTACTGTTTCTGAACTATTGGTTTACTTGCAGGTGAAAACAACTTCTAGACACTCACTCTGTTATTTCAACACAAACACAGTGTCAATACCAGAGATGGAACAAGGAATGGAAAGACGTCAATTCGAATTGGCCCGAGTACAGGCCTGTCAGCCAGGTGCTAGCAGGCTCAGAGGGAAATGGACAGGACCTGGCCATGAATGGTGGTGTGAGGAGTGGGCAAAGAGCATGTCAAGGCTTGAACAAAGACCAATACATGCGTGGGAAGTAATGGAAATGGTGAAAAACTTGAAAGACGGCGAAGGATTGAGAATTGCGGCACCACCAAGGGAACAGGCCAAAGAAGGGAACAAGCAGCCAGCAGATAGTAGGCCCAGAGAGAATTGGGCAGGCCCTGGCCATGAATGGTGGTCTGAGGAGTGGGCAAAGAGCATGTCAAGGCTTGAACAAAGACCACTACATGCGTGGATAGTAAAAGAGAGGGTGAAAAACTTAAAAGACGGCGAAGTGTTGAGAATTGCGGCACCACCTAGGGAACAGGCCAAAGGAGTGAACAGGCACGCACAAGGCTGTCAGCCAGCAGATGGCAGGCCCACAGGGAAATGGACAGGACATGACCGTGAATGGTGGTTTGAGGGTTGGCCAAAGAGCTGGTTAGAACCTGAACAAAGTTCTAACCAGCTATTTGAGGATTGTCAGCCAGCAGATAGCAGGCCCACAGGGAAATGGACAGGACATGACCGTGAATGGTGGTTTGAGGGTTGGCCAAAGAGCTGGTTAGAACCTGAACAAAGTTCTAACCAGCTATTTGAGGATTGTCAGCCAGCAGATAGCAGGCCCACAGGGAAATGGACAGGACATGACCGTGAATGGTGGTTTGAGGGTTGGCCAAAGAGCTGGTTAGAACCTGAACAAAGTTCTAACCAGCTATTTGAGGATTGTCAGCCAGCAGATAGCAGGCCCACAGGGAAATGGACAGGACATGACCGTGAATGGTGGTTTGAGGGTTGGCCAAAGAGCTGGTTAGAACCTGAACAAAGTTCTAACCAGCTATTTGAGGATTGTCAGCCAGCAGATAGCAGGCCCACAGGGAAATGGACAGGACATGACCGTGAATGGTGGTTTGAGGGTTGGCCAAAGAGCTGGTTAGAACCTGAACAAAGTTCTAACCAGCTATTTGAGGATTAGCCAAAGAGCTGGTTAGAATCTGAATAAAGTTCTAACCAGCTCGAGGGAAGGGAAGAAATGTAGATGGCCAAAAACCCACAAGATGGAGAAAGAATCAGAACCACTGGTTCCTTGCGAAGGTAGGGAACAGCCCCCCCAGCCCCTAGTCACTGAGGAGGGGATCGCACAAGCCCCTCAGCCCCTGAAAGCTCAGCCCCTGGAGGTGATTGAATCAGACCCTGAGCCTCTGGTAAAAAAGGTGGTGGTTCATCGAGCTACCCAGACCTCAGTAACGGAGGATAAGGTGATTTATTAAACCCACATCCCCAACCCACACCCACAGACACCCACCCACACACGCCAATGCACCCGCAAATACACACACTAAGAGAATGGACATAAGGCTGAGTCGTCCCAAACAACCAGCATAGGGTGATTGCTTAAACCCACATCCCCCACACTCACACACACACACAGACACCCACCCACACACGCCAATGCACCCGCAAATACACACACTAAGAGAATGGACATAAGGCTGAGTCGTCCCAAACAACCAGCATAGGGTGATTGCTTAAACCCACAACCCCCACACACACACACACACACACACACACACACACACACACACACACGGCAGTCTTCAGGACCATGTTTTGTTTTGCCCCCGCCAAGGAATGGCCACAACCCAGCATAATTAAGACCCATGTCCGCCTAAGTCCCAAACAACAACGACGACGACAAAAAATTTTACAATGAAATTAGAGAAATAAAAACAAATAAAATTTAAAAAATTAACAGCAATGAAAAAAAAAATAATAATAAAAATAAATGCCTTTGGCACTGTGGCTTAGTTGGTCAAAGCGCCTGTCTAGTACACAGGAAATCCTGGGTTCAAATCCCAGCGGTGCCTTTTCAACACATGGCATGTGCCATATCTTCACATTCTCCACACAGTGACATGGGGAATGTCATCCATTCATTCAGAAGGGGATTACGAATTGCAGTATAATCATTGCCTTTTCACTTATTCATTCTGTCCTGGTTGAAAATCGTAAAATCGGGTCATTCTTTGACTTCCGATGTCGAGCTTTCATGAACCAAAGGCTTTGTTAAGTAAGACCCATGTCCGCCTAAGTCCCAAACAACAACGACGATAAAAAATTTACAATGAAATTAGAGAAATAAAAACAGATAAAATTAAAAAAATTAACAGCAATAAAAAAAATAAAAATAAATAAAAAATATCTTTGGCACTGTGGCTTAGTTGGTCAAAGCGCCTGTCTAGTAGACAGGAAATCCTGGGTTCGAATCCCAGCGGTGCCTTTTCAACACATAGCATGTGCCATATCTTCACATTCTCCACACAGTGACATGGGGAATGTCATCCATTCATTCAGAAGGGGATTACGAATTGCAGTATAATCATTGCCTTTTCACTCATTAATTTCTGTCCTGGTTGAAAATCGTAAAATCGGGTCATTCTTTGACTTCCGATGCCAAGCTTTCATGAACCAAAGGCTTTGTTCTAGGAATAAATGTATTTTAACTGTATACTTATTAAAACATAATAACTACACCAGGAGCAATAAAACCTGGACTTATAATTCCCCTTTTTTTAATAACCCCCAAAAAGGCTATTTATTCACAGTATCAGATCTTTTGTATTTGAGATGGAATACACATAATGTCAAAAAAAAACAACAACAAAAAATGCCTGCATTAGTTTACAACACAGCATTAAAATCCAAGCTTTTCAACCAAATGTAGAAAAGCATAAAATCAGAGAGATGAATGTGGAAGAACACCATGACACTGCAAATGCTATAACTAAGCAGCACAGAGAAAACGTAAAGTTTTGGTACAGATACCCAAGTAGATAGATGATTAGTGATATAGCTGGAGACATAAATGTTAGATTGTGAGTTTTATTCATTTCTTTTAAAAAGCTTTTCAGAAGTATTTGATTTTTAGACCGAAAATACTACCTCGGCAAGTAGATTACAGGATATTTTTACTATCTAATCAACAAAAGCCTTGAGCAAAAAGTATTTGACAAGAAAAGAGGTGTGTTCAAGATTTGGAAAGTACTGTTTCAGTGCAATAAATAATCAACAAGGGGTTTGTCCCAGGTTGCTCCGATGAAATTAATGGTATTACCAGAAGTGGAGAATTATACTATGCAAATGATATTATATCAGTGTATCCAGAACATGGATGGTCGCCAGGGCGCAGGGCCGTAAGATTCTTTCCCTGTTGAAAAAGCCGAGCGGGGTTATCAGTCTTATGCGCTGATATAATTTGAAATGATCCTAGCTATGGTATGACGGTGAAGAAATTGAACATTGATGTGAGCTATTATACAACCTGATGAACTTTGATTATTACACTTTTTGATAATTGATACCACAATTTTATAACTTTTGCATAATTGGGGGAATTTATATCACAATTTGATAAGGTTGCATATTTCATGTAACTGGTTTATTGTTGTTAAATTTTAGAAAAACTTGTTTTTATTCAGTTGAATGATTTTTTTTTAAATAACCATTCCATCCTAGAGAAATTCCAACTTGGATTTAGGGTGAACCACAGTACAGACTGCACTACTGAAAATTGTTAATGATCTTAGTTGCAACTTGGACTTACACAAGCTCACAGTCCTTGGGCTACTGGATCTAAGCGCTGCTTTTGACACAGTAGATCACACTTTTTTTTTCCTTTGATCTGGCTACGATTGCACAATTTTATCAATACCTACATTTTAAAATGTTCATTTAACAGTTCAAGGAAAATTAGCCTGATTGTAAATAATAATAGATGTGTTTTATGGATAAAATGTCATGTTTTTACCCATCTTTACTCATATATGTTTTTCTAAATTCACCATGGCAGTTTCATCACAATTGCTCTGTATACTTTAATGACTCCTAGTCTGTGTAATCCACTTAAATGATCAATTCTTTACAAAACCTTGCCTGAAAAAATCTAGGCTTTTTTGCCTACGTGAGATTATCCCAATGTGCTCTCCTCTTGTGTCCGCCTCATCAAATACGCCTCATATTCTGTGTTGTAGTTTAACTTTAGGTGTTTTACGAAGTTTGTTTTGTTACTACAACTCCTTGCCGTTGTTTCGCAAACATCACAAACCACACCGGGGCTGTTTGTGAAGCTGGAATAGCTCCACACATGACTGTTTAAGCTCTGCCACAATGTTGAGTGATGGGCCGACTGAGGAGCATGCCGCTGCTTTAATGCATTCAGCACTTACCCAGGTGGAAGAAAAACTGGTTCTCAACAACTGTGTGACATTTAGACAACATCCCAACAGTTAAGTTACTTTCCACTGTGTTCCTGTTCATTATATACGTTATCTCAAATGGTGTAAATATCAAAACTATCGATATTTTGATTGAGAATTGATTTTAGAGTGTAAAAATCTGGTATCAAAGGTATCAATACTTTAGTATCGATCCGCTCATTACTAGGTACAGCAGATCTTCATGTTTCATGTGCACTTCCATGTTTGAGGCTGACGGCAACCAGATCCTTAAGGACACACACAATGTTCAATAAAGTTTAAAAAAAAAAAAAAAAAGGCAATGATGTCACAGAGGCCTTGATGACATCACAAAGGCTTTGATGATGATGTCATCAACTTTCATGTTTTCTTAGTAGTTGAAAGAAAAACCACAAGTGGTGTACTGTTTCTGAACTATTGGTTTACTTGCAGGTGAAAACAACTTCTAGACACTCACTCTGTTATTTCAACACAAACACAGTGTCAATACCAGAGATGGAACAAGGAATGGAAAGACGTCAATTCGAATTGGCCCGAGTACAGGCCTGTCAGCCAGGTGCTAGCACGCTCAGAGGGAAATGGACAGGACCTGGCCATGAATGGTGGTGTGAGGAGTGGGCAAAGAGCATGTCAAGGCTTGAACAAAGACCAATACATGCGTGGGAAGTAATGGAAATGGTGAAAAACTTGAAAGACGGCGAAGGATTGAGAATTGCGGCACCACCAAGGGAACAGGCCAAAGAAGGGAACAAGCAGCCAGCAGATAGTAGGCCCAGAGAGAATTGGGCAGGCCCTGGCCATGAATGGTGGTCTGAGGAGTGGGCAAAGAGCATGTCAAGGCTTGAACAAAGACCACTACATGCGTGGATAGTAAAAGAGAGGGTGAAAAACTTAAAAGACGGCGAAGTGTTGAGAATTGCGGCACCACCTAGGGAACAGGCCAAAGGAGTGAACAGGCACGCACAAGGCTGTCAGCCAGCAGATGGCAGGCCCACAGGGAAATGGACAGGACATGACCGTGAATGGTGGTTTGAGGGTTGGCCAAAGAGCTGGTTAGAACCTGAACAAAGTTCTAACCAGCTATTTGAGGATTGTCAGCCAGCAGATAGCAGGCCCACAGGGAAATGGACAGGACATGACCGTGAATGGTGGTTTGAGGGTTGGCCAAAGAGCTGGTTAGAACCTGAACAAAGTTCTAACCAGCTATTTGAGGATTAGCCAAAGAGCTGGTTAGAATCTGAATAAAGTTCTAACCAGCTCGAGGGAAGGGAAGAAATGTAGATGGCCAAAAACCCACAAGATGGAGAAAGAATCAGAACCACTGGTTCCTTGCGAAGGTAGGGAACAGCCCCCCCAGCCCCTAGTCACTGAGGAGGGGATCGCACAAGCCCCTCAGCCCCTGAAAGCTCAGCCCCTGGAGGTGATTGAATCAGACCCTGAGCCTCTGGTAAAAAAGGTGGTGGTTCATCGAGCTACCCAGACCTCAGTAACGGAGGATAAGGTGATTTATTAAACCCACATCCCCAACCCACACCCACAGACACCCACCCACACACGCCAATGCACCCGCAAATACACACACTAAGAGAATGGACATAAGGCTGAGTCGTCCCAAACAACCAGCATAGGGTGATTGCTTAAACCCAAACCCCCCACCCACACACACACACACACACACACACACACACACACACACACGGCAGTCTTCAGGACCATGTTTTGTTTTGCCCCCGCCAAGGAATGGCCACAACCCAGCATAATTAAGACCCATGTCCGCCTAAGTCCCAAACAACAACGACGACGACAAAAAATTTTACAATGAAATTAGAGAAATAAAAACAAATAAAATTTAAAAAATTAACAGCAATGAAAAAAAAAATTATAATAAAAATAAATGTCTTTGGCACTGTGGCTTAGTTGGTCAAAGCGCCTGTCTAGTACACAGGAAATCCTGGGTTCAAATCCCAGCGGTGCCTTTTCAACACATGGCATGTGCCATATCTTCACATTCTCCACACAGTGACATGGGGAATGTCATCCATTCATTCAGAAGGGGATTACGAATTGCAGTATAATCATTGCCTTTTCACTTATTCATTCTGTCCTGGTTGAAAATCGTAAAATCGGGTCATTCTTTGACTTCCGATGCCAAGCTTTCATGAACCAAAGGCTTTGTTAAGTAAGACCCATGTCCGCCTAAGTCCCAAACAACAACGACGATAAAAAATTTACAATGAAATTAGAGAAATAAAAACAGATAAAATTAAAAAAATTAACGGCAATAAAAAAAATAAAAAAAAATAAAAAATATCTTTGGCACTGTGGCTTAGTTGGTCAAAGCGCCTGTCTAGTAGACAGGAAATCCTGGGTTCGAATCCCAGCGGTGCCTTTTCAACACATAGCATGTGCCATATCTTCACATTCTCCACACAGTGACATGGGGAATGTCATCCATTCATTCAGAAGGGGATTACGAATTGCAGTATAATCATTGCCTTTTCACTCATTAATTTCTGTCCTGGTTGAAAATCGTAAAATCGGGTCATTCTTTGACTTCCGATGCCAAGCTTTCATGAACCAAAGGCTTTGTTCTAGGAATAAATGTATTTTAACTGTATACTTATTAAAACATAATAACTACACCAGGAGCAATAAAACCTGGACTTATAATTCCCCTTTTTTAATAACCCCCAAAAAGGCTATTTATTCACAGTATCAGATCTTTTGTATTTGAGATGGAATACACATAATGTCAAAAAAAACAACAACAAAAAATGCCTGCATTAGTTTACAACACAGCATTAAAATCCAAGCTTTTCAACCAAATGTAGAAAAGCATAAAATCAGAGAGATGAATGTGGAAGAACACCATGACACTGCAAATGCTATAACTAAGCAGCACAGAGAAAACGTAAAGTTTTGGTACAGATACCCAAGTAGATAGATGATTAGTGATATAGCTGGAGACATAAATGTTAGATTGTGAGTTTTATTCATTTCTTTTAAAAAGCTTTTCAGAAGTATTTGATTTTTAGACCGAAAATACTACCTCGGCAAGTAGATTACAGGATATTTTTACTATCTAATCAACAAAAGCCTTGAGCAAAAAGTATTTGACAAGAAAAGAGGTGTGTTCAAGATTTGGAAAGTACTGTTTCAGTGCAATAAATAATCAACAAGGGGTTTGTCCCAGGTTGCTCCGATGAAATTAATGGTATTACCAGAAGTGGAGAATTATACTATGCAAATGATATTATATCAGTGTATCCAGAACATGGATGGTCGCCAGGGCGCAGGGCCGTAAGATTCTTTCCCTGTTGAAAAAGCCGAGCGGGGTTATCAGTCTTATGCGCTGATATAATTTGAAATGATCCTAGCTATGGTATGACGGTGAAGAAATTGAACATTGATGTGAGCTATTATACAACCTGATGAACTTTGATTATTACACTTTTTGATAATTGATACCACAATTTTATAACTTTTGCATAATTGGGGGAATTTATATCACAATTTGATAAGGTTGCATATTTCATGTAACTGGTTTATTGTTGTTAAATTTTAGAAAAACTTGTTTTTATTCAGTTGAATGATTTTTTTTTAAATAACCATTCCATCCTAGAGAAATTCCAACTTGGATTTAGGGTGAACCACAGTACAGACTGCACTACTGAAAATTGTTAATGATCTTAGTTGCAACTTGGACTTACACAAGCTCACAGTCCTTGTGCTACTGGATCTAAGCGCTGCTTTTGACACAGTAGATCACACTTTTTTTTTTCCTTTGATCTGGCTACGATTGCACAATTTTATCAATACCTACATTTTAAAATGTTCATTTAACAGTTCAAGGAAAATTAGCCTGATTGTAAATAATAATAGATGTGTTTTATGGATAAAATGTCATGTTTTTACCCATCTTTACTCATATATGTTTTTCTAAATTCACCATGGCAGTTTCATCACAATTGCTCTGTATACTTTAATGACTCCTAGTCTGTGTAATCCACTTAAATGATCAATTCTTTACAAAACCTTGCCTGAAAAAATCTAGGCTTTTTTGCCTATGTGAGATTATCCCAATGTGCTCTCCTCTTGTGTCCGCCTCATCAAATACGCCTCATATTCTGTGTTGTAGTTTAACTTTAGGTGTTTTACGAAGTTTGTTTTGTTACTACAACTCCTTGCCGTTGTTTCGCAAACATCACAAACCACACCGGGGCTGTTTGTGAAGCTGGAATAGCTCCACACATGACTGTTTAAGCTCTGCCACAATGTTGAGTGATGGGCCGACTGAGGAGCATGCCGCTGCTTTAATGCATTCAGCACTTACCCAGGTGGAAGAAAAACTGGTTCTCAACAACTGTGTGACATTTAGACAACATCCCAACAGTTAAGTTACTTTCCACTGTGTTCCTGTTCATTATATACGTTATCTCAAATGGTGTAAATATCAAAACTATCGATATTTTGATTGAGAATTGATTTTAGAGTGTAAAAATCTGGTATCAAAGGTATCAATACTTTAGTATCGATCCGCTCATTACTAGGTACAGCAGATCTTCATGTTTCATGTGCACTTCCATGTTTGAGGCTGACGGCAACCAGATCCTTAAGGACACACACAATGTTCAATAAAGTTTAAAAAAAAAAAAAAAAAAAAGGCAATGATGTCACAGAGGCCTTGATGACATCACAAAGGCTTTGATGATGATGTCATCAACTTTCATGTTTTCTTAGTAGTTGAAAGAAAAACCACAAGTGGTGTACTGTTTCTGAACTATTGGTTTACTTGCAGGTGAAAACAACTTCTAGACACTCACTCTGTTATTTCAACACAAACACAGTGTCAATACCAGAGATGGAACAAGGAATGGAAAGACGTCAATTCGAATTGGCCCGAGTACAGGCCTGTCAGCCAGGTGCTAGCAGGCTCAGAGGGAAATGGACAGGACCTGGCCATGAATGGTGGTGTGAGGAGTGGGCAAAGAGCATGTCAAGGCTTGAACAAAGACCAATACATGCGTGGGAAGTAATGGAAATGGTGAAAAACTTGAAAGACGGCGAAGGATTGAGAATTGCGGCACCACCAAGGGAACAGGCCAAAGAAGGGAACAAGCAGCCAGCAGATAGTAGGCCCAGAGAGAATTGGGCAGGCCCTGGCCATGAATGGTGGTCTGAGGAGTGGGCAAAGAGCATGTCAAGGCTTGAACAAAGACCACTACATGCGTGGATAGTAAAAGAGAGGGTGAAAAACTTAAAAGACGGCGAAGTGTTGAGAATTGCGGCACCACCTAGGGAACAGGCCAAAGGAGTGAACAGGCACGCACAAGGCTGTCAGCCAGCAGATGGCAGGCCCACAGGGAAATGGACAGGACATGACCGTGAATGGTGGTTTGAGGGTTGGCCAAAGAGCTGGTTAGAACCTGAACAAAGTTCTAACCAGCTATTTGAGGATTGTCAGCCAGCAGATAGCAGGCCCACAGGGAAATGGACAGGACATGACCGTGAATGGTGGTTTGAGGGTTGGCCAAAGAGCTGGTTAGAACCTGAACAAAGTTCTAACCAGCTATTTGAGGATTGTCAGCCAGCAGATAGCAGGCCCACAGGGAAATGGACAGGACATGACCGTGAATGGTGGTTTGAGGGTTGGCCAAAGAGCTGGTTAGAACCTGAACAAAGTTCTAACCAGCTATTTGAGGATTGTCAGCCAGCAGATAGCAGGCCCACAGGGAAATGGACAGGACATGACCGTGAATGGTGGTTTGAGGGTTGGCCAAAGAGCTGGTTAGAACCTGAACAAAGTTCTAACCAGCTATTTGAGGATTAGCCAAAGAGCTGGTTAGAATCTGAATAAAGTTCTAACCAGCTCGAGGGAAGGGAAGAAATGTAGATGGCCAAAAACCCACAAGATGGAGAAAGAATCAGAACCACTGGTTCCTTGCGAAGGTAGGGAACAGCCCCCCCAGCCCCTAGTCACTGAGGAGGGGATCGCACAAGCCCCTCAGCCCCTGAAAGCTCAGCCCCTGGAGGTGATTGAATCAGACCCTGAGCCTCTGGTAAAAAAGGTGGTGGTTCATCGAGCTACCCAGACCTCAGTAACGGAGGATAAGGTGATTTATTAAACCCACATCCCCAACCCACACCCACAGACACCCACCCACACACGCCAATGCACCCGCAAATACACACACTAAGAGAATGGACATAAGGCTGAG